CGGTTTTTGCTTGGCTGACAAAAAAAGCACGGGATGATTTGGTGGTATTGCACTTTCCCTATCCGATGCGGACTCTTTTTTTTCTCTTTGATTTCCTGTGGCAGATCCAAAGGGCTAAAAGGATCCTCAGGCCACAAAAAAAAGGGGGGGGGGAGAGAAGGAAAAAAGGAGGAAGGGGGAAATAGAGAGAGAGAAAAAAAGTGCTCCTAATTCACTGAAATAGTGCAAAGACAGAACTTCAGATCTATTCCACCAAGTTTACTAAACCAAAGGTTATACTTAGGGTGATTCGATGGATGACATAATTTGTGTCAGAACGGCATGCGATATATCGCATCAATTGGTTCCATTTTTTCAGCTACTCGTCAATTTTCTCCAATTTTGAGATCGCAATTCTGTTGTCAGGAGACTGAAGCACTCACTTACCAATATTTTAACAAAGAAATGCACCGTAATAAAGGCGTGGTTTTTTTAGAGAGAAAATATAGCATTCGAGTGCAGTTTCGATATCAGTATCGAATGCGATGTTTTCTCTCTAAAAAAACCACGCTTAAAATTGGTTAGTGAGTGCTTTAGTCTCCTGACAACAAAATTGCGATCTCAAAATTGGAGAAAAATGACGAGTAGCTGAAAAAATGGAACCAATTGATGCAACAAATCGCATGCCGTTCTGACACAAAATATGGCGTCCATCGAATCACCTTAATACCGCAGAAATAATTAGGCCATATGTCAAGATAAAATTTTCCTAAGTGAGGCATTATTCGTCAACTTTCAAGTAATGCGCGAATCGTACGCTAAAACTGCTTAAAATCTGGGAGGAGCTATTTTCTTGAAAATTTCCCGGGGGAGACCCCCACGAAACATCAACTAATCCCCTTACCCCTCCAACTCACTCTGGATCCACCACTGTTCTGCCGTGCTGAGGAAGAACGCCATATGAACATTCGAGAGTTGCCGAATTCCCTTCGATAAAATTTTTATTTTTGAGGACAGCTATAAATATTTTTCCTTAAAATTTTCAGTAACCTTAGGTGAAATCGCGAACAAAATTATCTGAAAAAATTGAGGAAAAATGTTTACAAATTTTCCCGAAAATTCGTGACTTACTGATAGGAATTTACCAACGCCTGAAGGCTCATACGGCGCACAGTGCAGTGTCCTTATGGCGCGTAGGGACAAAAATCATAGCTCGCAGACAAAAGCACATAGAGAGGTGAAATTTGGTATGAAAGGTCTTGGACATATAGACTATCGTTAGATGAGGTCAAATTTTGTTAATGACACTTTGGGGCGGGAGGAGGGGGGGCGGGAGTACTGATACTTGAAGGCGAGTGTTTGGGCGGTAGAGACCGAACTCATAGCTCAAAGACAGAAAGATATAGAAAAGTTAAATTTGATATGAGACCTCCTATACATATGTTCTATTGTCGGATGGGGTCAAAATTTCATAATGACACTTGTGGTGGGATGAGGGGGGCGGAAGCAGTGATACTTGAAGACGTGCGTTTGGGCGGTAGGGACAAACATTTTAGTCCGAAGTTGGTAGCACATACAGAAGTGAAATTTGGGTGCGACCTCTTCTACCGACAGGCCATCGTTAGATGAGGTCAAATTTTTTAAATGATATTTCCGGCAGGGAGGGGTGGAGCGGTCGCAAAGTTACTAAATAGAGAGCGTTCGGGCGGTAGGAACCGAACTTGTAGCTCAAAGACGGATGGACAGAGAGATGGAAAATTTGACATGAGACCTCCTATTCATACAGTCTATCGTTAGATGGGATTAAATTCTTAAAGCAGCACCTGGAGGGGGGGGGGAGGGCTGTAACAATTATAGTGAGATCGATTCTGGTCGGAAAAAGACGGTCACGGCACATTCCCCATGATTTGATCTGAAATTACTGGTCAACAACAGACCCTGTAACCTTTACCCAGATTAAACCTTTTTAACACGTATTATAATTTTTTTTAAATTTTTGTGTGGGAAAAAAGTCGCAAGAACAAAAAATGCTCAAGCACCGTGATTATCCGAGGGAAAATCGGCTATTCCGAAAAATTGGAGGACGACGCGGAAGGACGGATAGAATTTTCGGGAGGAGGGGGGTATGTATTAGAGTATTGTATAGAATGAACATCATGTCTAATAACCGCATGTGCTTGTAACTTTTTTTTTTTCTTTGTCGGAAAGGAATCATGAAGTTCGCCTTAAACAGAGACCGCATCATGCAGTTCAACCAGTATACCCGATTCCCGACTTGAGGTCACAAAACCGACGATTTCGTCGGTGTGTGATAATTTGTAGCTGGAAGCTAAACAGTTTCTCAATCTGGAGGGTATTGTGAACAACATATCAAAAAATTACGTTGATATATTTTGATATATTATTTTAATCTATGTTTAAAGACATGATCATAAGCCTATATGTCGCTCACTGCGCGCCTGAGCCCTGACTTGAGGTCACAAAAATGACGATTCCGTCGATTTGTGGCAGTACGTGGCTTAAAACTAAACATATTCTGAATCTGGAGGGTATTCTGAACAACATATCAAAAAATTGCGATGATATATTTTGATATATTTTTCTAATCTATGTTTAAAGACACGATAATTAGCCAATATGCCGCTCACTGTGCGCCTGAGCCCTGACTTGAGGTCACAAAAATGACGATTCCGTCGATTTGTGGTAGTTTGTGGATTAAAACTAAACATATTCTGAATTAGGAAGGTATTTTGAACAACATATCAAAAAATTGCGTTTATATATTTTGATATATTTTTTTAATCTATGTTTAAAGACACGATAATAAGCCAATATGCCGCTCATTGCGCGCCTGAGCCCTGACTTGAGGTCACAAAAATGACGATTCCGTCGATTTGTGGCAGTTTGTGGCTAAAAACTAAACATATTCTGAATCTGGAAGGTATTCTGAACAACATATCAAAAAATTGCGTTGATATATTTTGATATATTTTTTAAATCTCTGTTTAAAGATATCATCACATCTCATTTATCGATCACGTGGTTGATTTCTGACATGAAAGGGCGGACGCCATATTTGTCGTTAAATTTGAGGTCCAATTGAGTAGAAATCAAATAGATTATGGATTTGAAACATCATTTTAACAACTTATCAAAAAACACGGCTGGACTCATGCATGCACACTGACTCTCTTTGGTTTCACGTATGGCTGTTATAAAAACAAGCCAATATGCCGCTCAGTGCGCGCCTAAGCCCTGACTTGAGGTCACAAAAATGACGATTCCGTCGATTTGCGGCAGTTTGCCGCTAAAAACTAAACATATTCTGAATCTGGAAGGTATTTTGAACAACATATCAAAAAATTGCGTTGATATATTTTGATATATTTTTTAAATCTCTGTTTAAAGATATCATCACATCTCATTTATCGATCACGTGGTTGATTTCTGACATGAAAGGGCGGACGCCATATTTGTCGTTAAATTTGAGGTCCAATTGAGTAGAAATCAAATAGATTATGGATTTGAAACATCATTTTAACAACTTATCAAAAAACACGGCTGGACTCATGCATGCACACTGACTCTCTTTGGTTTCACGTATGGCTGTTATAAAAACAAGCCAATATGCCGCTCAGTGCGCGCCTAAGCCCTGACTTGAGGTCACAAAAATGACGATTCCGTCGATTTGCGGCAGTTTGCGGCTAAAAACTAAACATATTCTGAATCTGGAAGGTATTCTGAACAACATATCAAAAAACTGCGTTGATATATTTTGATATATTTTTTTAATCTACATTTGAAGATGCGTATATGGAATAAATCGAATTTTTGGCATCATCAACGGGAGACCGGACTGAGAGGCCCTTAATTTAAGAATTTAAAATAATCAACATGGTTTTTGTATAGAGAAACATACCTTGTACCTAAACATTCTACCTTGTTCCGTTCTGATTAGGATAATATCAGTTATCACCCGTCATAACACATGATGCCCGCTGCTGGATCTCTGCTAATTGTGCATCCGCGCAGGTTCCGTGATTTCCCCTCCCCTTCCCTCCCTTCCAATAGCATTTTCATGTCAAGAAACTTCGAATTTTTTCTTCCCATCCATCCATTTCTTCAATCCACCGGTCATTTTTATTATCCGACAAAGTCGAATTTTCGATTTTTGTCCATGGGACACTGCACTGTGCGGCGTTCTCCCTTATTAGCACGGCAGTGTTTGTTTCGCTGGTCTTTGGCCTAGGGATGGGCGAATATCGAATTCGAATGCGATTATTGGAATATTCGAAACTTTTCGAATGCGATTATTTGAGAATTCGAATCGTGCGATTGCGAATACTTCGGAAGTGAATTTTCGAATATTTTCGATCATTGTTTCGATTTTTGATTTTTTATGAACCATGAGAGATAAATGACACTTTTAACTAACGCGGTCACTCATTCCCGTGTGGAGTTGTGGACGAGTTTCAATTAATAACGAGATTAACGATAGGGATGGACGCTTATCGAATTCGAATGCGATTATTGCAATTATTTGAGAATTCGAATCGTGCGATTGCGAATACTTCGGAAGTGCATATTCGAATATTTTCGATTATTGTTTCGATTTTTGATTTTTGATGAACCATGAGAGATAAATGACACTTTTAACTAACGCGGTCACTCATTCCCGTGTGGAGTTGTGAACGAGTTTCAATTAATAACGAGATTAACGAAAGGGATGGACGGTTATCGAATTCGAATGCGATTATTCGAATTATTCGAATATTTGAATTTGCGATTTCGAATACTTCAGAAGCGAATATTCGAATGTAATGCGATTATCTCTGTGCCAATAATTCGAATATCGAATATTCGATCATCTAAATATTCGACCATCCCTACAGTACAGTGTTTGTTTCCGATCGCGCCCACCGTGCGGCGCGGCGTTCGCCCGTGGTGGGGCAGCGTCGGGCGCGCGGGGTGGGGGGTGACGTCACGCGCGGAGTCGACAAACTCCGGGCCGTCAGTCGGATTGCATCCTAGGCCGAGAGCGTGCGTGAGGTGTGTGATGTGGTGGTGAAGATGGCCGATTCGTTGTGCGCCCAGCCGGATAGTGATGGTACCGCGAGTGTAGAACTCATCCCAGACGCCGTCGCGGTCATGGAGGCCCCCAAGGATAAGGATAGTGATAGTGTCAAGAGTGCCGCGTTGCTGTTCTTCAACGCCAACAGTGAGTTGTGCTCCAACCTGTGCCGCGATGATAAGAAGCCGCCCGCCGAGGGCCAGTTGTCGGATTTGTGTAAAACTGTGTGTGATGAAGCCGAGGAGAACGAGAACTTGCGGAAGAAGAGGTGTGCGGATCGCTACGACAGCTCCGAAAGCTCAGACAGGTTAGTTTCAAACCCGAAATACTCTTCCTCCAAAGCGGCATTGTTGTGTTTTTGTTTTGGTCCTGTCCGCCATTACTGTTATCTTCCTTGCCGGAGCGGTGCGCTCTTGCTTGCATACCCACGTTTTTTTGTTGGAATAAATGTCTTGCACAGCGTTAGGACGCAATTTTGGGAACTTCTTAAGTATGAGAGCTGATTTAGTTTAATTTCGAGATCATTTGTTTATTATGATCTGGTGGGTGGGGGCGTCTCGCCCTTCCCCTCTCCCGCATTCAATGCATTCCAGTTTTTCGCAAATGGATCGCGTTAAGCAGAAAGGAACCACCGCGATTACAGTGTTTTCAAAATCGTACAACTTCTTCCTTCCTTCTAGAAAGACGTAATATACGTACAGTATTCAAATTTACACCATTACTTTTCTCTAAACTGAACAATTTTCTGTTGGGAAGAAAAAACAATTTGCTATTCTCAGATATGTTTTAGATAATTATGAAGAAGCAACATTTTTACATCACTGTAATCGCGCTGGTTCCTTATTGCTATATGCGATCCAAATTACATTCGTTATGACCTTCCTTGAATACCATGTCCAAATTTTTATTCAGACCGAGCCTGGTAGAAAGGAACTAGGTACCCCACATCCTTTAGGTATCGCCGAATTTAATTGGGCAATTTAATTTTTTACCTGATAACCGTAGTGCGGATTTTCGTGCCAATTTCAGTGAATTTCCTGCACAGTACAACGTAAGTTCCTTAAAATTTTCGAAGGAATCCGCACTAACGTTGTCTTGTAATATATCAAGTTGCCCAGTTAAATTTGGCAATAGATGATGTGGCTTGGGTTCTTTCTGCTTAACGAGGCCCAGTTATACTGTCGTGCTAAGGAAGAACGCCGTATGAACATTCGAGAGTTGCCAAAATGCCCAGGATAAAACATGTATTTTTGACGACATTCATGCCCATTTTTCTTTGAAATTTTCAGATATTTTAGATGAAGTTGCGTACGAAATTGTCTGAAATTTTATGAAAAAAATATTCACAATTTTCTTTGCAAAGTCGGTCTTTATCGAAAGAAATTTGGCAGCGTCTGATGGCTCATACGGCGTTCTTCCTTAGCACGGCATCATAGTACCATGCTTGATTCTAGCAAAGTCTTAGTCGGGGGGCTGAACAGGGCGTCGTCCAAGGGGAGGGGGGGGGGAGTCTGGGGCCTGAAAATGTCTCCGAAAAATCTCGTCCTCGTTTACGCGTTTTACGGGAGAAAACTTCGACGTCGCATTTCCCAGTGAAACCAACGTGATTGGATTGCAATCTAGCTTTGCTTGCGCCTTCCATCGACGCAGCAAAGACCTAGTTTATCCTACACTGGAAAAAAAAACACATTGGATCTAGAGTCCAGACTCTTGAAAACATTGACAAGAAAAAGGACTCATGATTCAATCAGATTTAAGCTCAAATCAAAAGGAAATTCGCTCAAATTAAGAGGCTTGGTTCTTGATTTAAGCTTAAATCTGATCGAATCAAGAGTCCTTTTTCTTGTCGATGTTTTTAAGAGTCTGGACTCTAGATCCAATGTGGTTTTTTCCCCATTGTAACACGTTTAGAACCCACTTTTAAGAGTGTTTTCCGTCTAAAACTGTTTCCGAATCCTCGAACCAACTTGCTAGACAACGAAGAAATTCGCCGCTTGCATTAAAAGTCTCTTTTCCCGTAGACAATAATAACAGCGACTTACATTTTAGGTACTAATTAGTGCTCACATATCGGAGGAGCTTTTCCTGTTTCTCACTCATTTCGATTACGTCTCCAGAAGTCCTCATGTTGCGGAAAAAGTATTCCTAGATGGATTCTTCATTATCTCTAGCAACGATTTTCCTGGATTCCCTAATCGCCTGTCAGGAAAAATCTAGACTGTAGTAGACATTTATTCCAGCATTTCCCCATAAAACTTCGGTTTCCAGACGATCACGTCATGATTCGTCGAAACTGGACTTGCCACTCTGAAAACGCGAAAAAGTTCGAAATCCTCCCCCCCCTCCCTCAAGCGGAGGACAAATATTTTAAAAAAATATCCCATAAAATTCATGATTTGCCTCAGAAGATTTGGCAACTTCCGAACGCTGTTATGGCGCTCTTCTTACCAAGGCAGTAATATTGCTTAGATTGTTTCTTTCTGCCATGCTAAGGAAGAGCGCCGTATGAACCTTCTGGCGTTGCCAAATTTCTCTTAATAAATCATGAATTTTCGGGAAAATTTGTGAACGTTTTTCCTCCAGTTTTCCGATAATTTTGTTCGCGATTTCGCCTAAAATTCCTGAAAATTCCAAGGAAGTATATTCATAACCTTCCTCAAATTTAAACATTTTACTGGGGTAAATTTGGCAACTATCGAATGTTCATACGGCGTTCTTCCTTAGTACGACAGCTTATTTTCAGTCTCTAAAACTCACCGTCTGTGTTCCCATCTGACTCCGTCCATTTCAAGACGAGCTGGATAGTCTCTGCGATGGAGGAGAATAACGCCTGGAATGAAAGTCGTGGTGGGGGGGGGGCGGTGTTGCCGAAGCACTGGCCTGGAAAGGATCCCGGGTAGTTGCATAACGACTGCACTTAACGGTGCTTTCATGGCGACAAGGCCCGAATCCGACTGAGCGGTTAAGAAGAGAGTCGGAGCTCGTCTTGGATGGAATTTTTTATCGCCTTCCGTCGCCAACAGGGAATGGCCCGGCTCTAACGTGCTGTGAAATAACGTCGCAAGAACGTTCCAGCGTTGCCAAATTTCGTCTTCTGAAATGCAGATTTTATAGAAAATCGTTAATTTTTCGATCTGAGTTTTACTCGGGGTTCTCTTCAGGATACAAGTCAAGTATACTGCGTGTTCAATGTTCGGCTGACTATCTTTTCATTCATTTGAATCAGTGAGTTCGAAAACATACCAACTCGGGTTTTTTTCGATTTTCACTTTTTTTACGGTTTAGTAACATTTATGGATAGAAGCATCTGCACGCAAAAGGAAATTTCGAAATTGCATTCGGAAGTGCTCGAAACAGCGACCGGAAAAGGGGAAAATCGAAGTATTTCATTGGAAATACCGATTTTTAGCCATTTTAAGGGGAACGGGTGACCATCCGATTTTGCGGTTTTCTTTTTTCGGTTCAGTATACCTGGTACCAACAAGTCATGTAAACATTCAAGCGTTACTCGGGTCGAAAAATATAAATTTTTCAGGGCAGACTATTAAAAATCAGTATCTGAAACTTCTGATAGTCGGTGAGGAGTGTAGCTCTGAACTGCGAGCTCAACGAACTTACTCCCAGCTGAAGAGGCTGCCCGTGCGAATATCGACTTCAAGTTCAATGTTCAGCCGAATTAGCGCTCGTTAAGGTAGCCGCGTGGCGTGTGCGACTCGATTGCGTCATTTTCGCCGGGTCTCCATCACGCGCAAGGTTGCCAGCTTTCGAGATAAAATGAGGATATTTTAAACGGGTTTAAACGGGGAAAGTGCTGAATTTTCAGCGACATTCGGCAACCATGATCACGCACTTGACCTGTCGAAAACTTATCTATCGCCGCCAAGAGCGTAGCTATGGAATTAGCTCTCCAAGTCGAAAAAAATTCCTCTCGCGCACGATAATTATTATCCTCTCGATTCGTCATTATCCCTATTTTCCGTCTTGAAATCGCCTAGGTACTCATCCGCTTGTAGATAACCCGTATCGCTATCAACGCGCGTGGCTCCTGAGTTCGACGACTAGTAATTGCTCGGCAAAATCGATATTTTGCTTCAAGTGGCTGTTCACGCAAATTGGCAACACTGGATTTCCTCAATTTATATACATTATAAACAATGGTGATGTTGCATGTGTGAGGAATTTGCGATTTGACAGTTGATTTTTATGTAAAATTTCGCGAGAAACACGATGGTGCCACTGGTTTTCTCTGAAATCAACTCCCAAGCTCAAAAAAAGCTCTCAAGTTGAGACCAAAATGGAGGGGATATCCCACCCTACCCTGAGAGTCCACCTCTACATGAAGACAAACTCTCCATGCAAAGATAGGGAGCAAATACATTGACAGGGCTGCCACTTTATTTGGGGACTCCAAAACTGAAAACACGGCATCACTGCTAATGTATTTGCTCCCTATCTTTGCATGGAGAGTTTGTTTTGATGTAGAGGTGGACTCTCAGGGTAGGGTAGGATATCCCCTCCATTTTGACCTCAACTCGAGAGCTTTCTTCGAGCTTGGGAGACGATTTCAGAGAAAACCAGTGGCACCATCGTGTTTCTCGCCAACTTTTGCATAAGAAACAACAGTCAAATCGCAAATCCCTCACACATGCAACATCTCCATTTACATACATCATAAACAATTGATTCTGGGCCTGACAGTTTCAGACGTCACCTTCCGATCAAAGTATCGCAAGCGCAAGTGACGTCTCAAAATTTCCGCCAGCATTTTATTTTCTTAGAGTATTTGTTCAACGAATCTGTCCGAAAATTGTCACTGAATTTTCTTTGTGCTGCCGATTAAATTCAGTGAAATTTCCAAACGCATTCAACCATCAATCTTTCTGTAAGAAAATAAATTGGCGACGGAAATTTTGAAACCGCGCATCGGAAATACCATAAATTACCAGGTTTTTATTTTTGGCATCAAGGAAAACCTGGAAAACTGTCCCGGAGTTCGCAAAAAATGTTTTAATGTATTTTCTTTCGTGGAATAGTCGAGTTTTTTACACGTGCCATGAATGTTTTACCACTTGATTCTGAAAAGAATAGATTTTTGTTCTTTATTCAGAAATCTGTCCGTATTTTTGACGTAGGAATCTTTTTTTTATCGACGAGTGCTAGAAACTGATGCGGATGGATATTTTGAAAACAAGTTTGCCTTTTAATTTCCTCACTTTCGTCCACAGGAAAGTTAACCTCAGCCCACAAAAAATGAAAGTTTAGTCATTGACACTTACTAGAACACAGAAAGGTGTCAGGTGTGCTCAA